TTTATGTATGTAGGTCCACGTTTACTGGTAGCCCCCATACAAAGGCACCCCTATTTTGAGTATTTACCCAAAAATTGGGTATAAACTCATTAACTGCCGAACCACTTAACATAGGCGGCCAAAATTTTGCACACATGTTTCTAATGACAAAGAAAATATAGAAATCCAACATGGGGTCCCTGGGTCCAAGTTTTGATATAGCCCCCATATAACCATATCTCCCGATTTAAGGTATTTTTTGTTTATTAGACACATTTTACAACCAAATTGGCTGTAATTTGGCACAGAGTGCTCTTTTTGGGTACAAAATGTCCATGCAAAATTTTATGTATGTAGGTCCACGTTTACTGGTAGCCCCCATACAAAGGTACCCCTATTTTGAGTATTTACCCAAAAATTGGGTATAAACTCATTAACTGCCGAACCACTTGACGTAGGCGGCCAAAATTTTGCACACATGTTTCTAATGACAAAGCAAATATAGAAATCCAACATGGGGACCCTGGGTCCAAGTTTTGATATAGCCCCTATATAACCGTATCTCCCGATTTAAGGTATTTTTTGCCTATTAGACACATTTTAAGGCCAAATTGGATGTAATTTGGCACAGAGTGTTCTTTTTGGGTACCAAATGTCCATGCAAAATTTTATGTATGTAGGTCCACGTTTAATGGTAGCCCCCATACAAAGGTACCCCTATTTTGAGTATTTACCCAAAAATTGGGTATAAACTCATTAACTGCCGAACCACTTGACATAGGCGGCCAAAACTTTGCACACATGTTTCTAATGTCAAAGCAAATATAGAAATCCAACATGGGGACCCTGGGTCCAAGTTTTTATATAGCCCCCATATAACCGTATCTCCCGATTTAAGGTATTTTTTGCCTATTAGACACATTTTAAGGCCAAATTGGCTGTAATTTGGCACAGAGTGTTCTTTTTGGGTACCCAATGTCCATGCAACATTTTATGTATGTAGGTCCACGTTTACTGGTAGCCCCCATACAAATGTACCCCTATTTTGAGTATTTACCCAAAAATTGGGTATAAACTCATTAACTGCCGAACCACTTAACATAGGCGGCCAAAACTTTGCACACATGTTTCTAATGTCAAAGCAAATATAGAAATCCAACATGGGGACCCTGGGTCCAAGTTTTGATATAGCCCCCATATAACCGTATCTCCCGATTTAAGGACATTTTTATCTATTAGCCAATTTGATTAGCTGGAATTTGGCTTAGAGAGTTCTCTATGAGTACCAATTGTTTGCTCTGGTCAACTTTTTCTGTCCTATATAGCGGTCCTGATTTTGGGTATTTATATATATTTATAAACTCTTTTACAGCCGAACTATTTGACGTGTGTTTTGAAGACCCCTTTTCCCATACAGGAAATAATATTGATTTTAAACCATGTGTGTCAAAAACCACATTTTGCATGAATATTTTGTGCAAAAAAAATCTCACTATGCCAAATTACAACCAATTTGATCGTAAAAGTACCTTAAATCGGTAGGTACGGTTATATGGGGGCTATATCAAAACTTGGACCCAGGGACCCCATGTTGGATTTCTATATTTGCTTTGTCATTAGAAACATGTGTGCAAAATTTTGGCCGCCTATGTCAAGTGGTTCGGCAGTTAATGAGTTTATACCCAATTTTTGGGTAAATACTCAAAATAGGGGTACCTTGGTATGGGGGCTACCAGTAAACGTGGACCTACATACATAAAATGTTGCATGGACATTGGGTACCCAAAAAGTACACTCTGTGCCAAATTACAGCCAATTTGGCCTTAAAATGTGTCTAATAGGCAAAAAATACCTTAAATCGGGAGATACGGTTATATGGGGGCTATATCAAAACTTGGACCCAGGGTCCCCATGTTGGATTTCTATATTTGTTTTGTCATTAGAAACATGTGTGCAAAATTTTGGCCGCCTATGTCAAGTGGTTCGGCAGTTAATGAGTTTATACCCAATTTTTGGGTAAAAACTCGGGTATTTACCCAAGTATTTACCCACGTCTTTAAAGTATCGTAAAACTATCCATTCTAAATCGATTTGATAACAGAAATCCGGAAATAGGGTGTAAGATGTTGTATTACCGAGTCAATATAGTAAATACCCAAATAAATACCCGCAAATGGGTATTTACCCGGTATTTACCCACCCCTTGGGTATTTACCCGGTAAATACCCGGTAAATACCATCTCTACCCAGAACCAATAAGAGATGACGGTATAGAGTGTATACCAACTAGCCAAGAAGAGGTCATAAAATCAATTAATCGGCTCAAGAACAATAAAGCAACAGATGTTACTATGGTCTAATGGTGTTTTTACACGATATGTATTTTACATATGTGCTGTCACTTATTTCATCCATATGTAATTCCTTACGTGTGTCAAAATTAGCAGCGTACACAAAACTTTTATGTTTAGTGTTAAAATCTGCATTTTATTTTACATATGACATAACCTATAAACAAAAAAACCCTTTTATTTTTTCTTAAATCAACATAATTTTTTTTTATTAAACACCAACAAACGAAATAGTAATTTGTAATTGTTGCCTTTTCATTCTTTTCTTTGACTTGCAATTGAAATATTTCTTTCTAACAATATGTTTCATTCAAACAGCTGATTTCCTTATGTTTCACATATGAAAATAGAGCGCGTCCTATTCGGAAAAAATACATATGTTATTGCATATCGTTTTGACACACTGAAATTTCCGTATGTTTCACATGACAAGTTCGATTTCCACAAGAAAATAAAGTGACAGCACATATGTAAAATACATATCGTGTAAAAACACCATAAGTAAGCAGTTTAGAAACAAGGCCACCTTGTTTGGTGGCCTTGCTCTTATATGGATCTGAAGCATGGGTACTTGCACAAGCAGATGAGACAGCTCTTGGGGTGTTTATAAGAAAAATTCTCCGAAAGATCTACAAGCCGATCTGCGTCGACGGTGAATATCGGCGTCGAATGAACCACGAGCTCTACAATTTATACGCGGACATCGACATAGTCAGTCGTATTGAGCTGCAGCGACTACGGTGGCTAGGCCATGTTGTGCGAATGAATGAGAATGCCTCAGCTCAAAAGGCATATAAAAGCAAGCCTACTGATGGTTCCCGTAGAAGGGGAAGGCATCGAATTATATATATATATATATACAATTGCTTTAATAATAAGAATTCAACTATGTAATGAAGAATGTATAATGGCGATTATTTATATTAGTCAGAAAAGTTATTATATGTATATAAAAAATTGACTATACTAAGAACTTTGATACTTAAATGTAATATTTTTCAAAGAGTGTAGCTAATCTATATGCACCGAACGACTCACTTAATGGCACAAAAACAAAATGGTATACCCTTTGTGCGTTGTTTAAAATTATTAAATAAATGACGCTGATTTTTTTGTATGGTGAATGACGCAAAATTGTGCCGGTTTTAGGAAATAAATTACGCAACAGCCCTAAATCCTGATTTTTCTATTGTATGTAAATGTGCTTTAGACCACATTTACGCCGACCTTGTTTTATGATAAATCATAATTTAATAATTTCCTTTGTTTTCTATTTATTTGTTTCCTTTGTTATATATACATATGTCAAATATTTCCGTAAAAGTATCGTTGAGACGCGTTTGGATCTTGATCGATTTTAAGTACATTAGAACATGGTATGTTCCCATACTACAAGAAAATATATATTTTTTGATAACGGCTTTTTACTGGTTTCAATTCACTTTGCCCACGAAATAACTGATACTTAGTCTGTTCCCTTAATGCAATAATCTACTAATTTTTTCTATTTTCGATATCATAAAAGAAAATTTGTCTACTAATTTGTATTATTTTTTCCAATATCACATAAGCTCCTTTCCAGAAGCTGCAAAAATTTACAAATTTTAAAAGTTTTGCAACTTTTTACTATAAAACCATTCCAAAACCCACAAAACTAGAAACAATTCAAACAAATTTAGGAGAATTCAAAACAAAATTACTTTCTCTTTGCAAACTTTTAACTCGAGAAATTTGCGCGCTTAAAAATGGTAATAGGAATGCTAACTTCTTATTAGCAGTAGTGTTGATTTTAAATTAATGTCATCTAATTTTGGAATATTTACCAGATTTTCTTTCACTTTCTAATTATTTTGTATTTTGAGAGTGATATTGTTATTATCTCATTCTACTAGGACTCATGGTACAAGGTAGGGTATCTTTTGTCAACAAAGAGAAAATACACCTCTACCTTATGGGCTACAATGTTAGAATAAATAAAAACAAGTGCAACAAGTCGTTCTGTTCTTTTGGCATATTTTTAAAATTTTACTAAAACGCCAAAAATGAAAATTCGAATTGGGAATATGATTTAGATATTTATTTGTCCAGAAATCATAAATTTCTTCTTTACAACATGTGGTCTGTTCCCGTACTACAAGAATCTACTATTTTTGAATACGATAACACTTTTTTCCTTTATGATATCGAAAAAATGGTAAAATCTAGTAGATTCTTGCAGTACGGGAACAGACCAATGGGTTGTAAAACTCGTCGTTAAGCAAATGGATTATAGAATACATTTTATTTTCTTTCAAACAGCTGATTTTCTTATTTTTCACATACGAAAATAGACGTTCGAAACAAATACATATGTAATTACATATCGCTTTGACACATTGAAATTTTCGTATGTTTCACACGACGTGTTCGAATTTCATATGTAAATAAAGTAGCAGCACCCATGTAAATAAGATATTGTGAAAAAGAACCTTAAGATCTATTGGATTTCAAAATCCAGTACAATGTGAACGTACATTTTATGTAAACGCTTGTTTATAACCTATGAAGTAAGCAATCACAAAAGCTAAAGTCTCTTCAATTACGATTAGCTATTATCGATGAATCATCATTCATTATCGAATGTTATCGAAATTGGAATGTTGTTATCGAAAACAATGTACCATCTCCTACGAAATTTTCCATGTCACAATTCTTGTTGAATCGTGTTGAGAACTTTTCTTTGTCCTCGTTCAAATTAAAAAACCAAAAAAACTGATTCTAATTGCAGAAGCATCCGGGTAAGTGTTATTCCATTAAATTCTACAGCAAAAACCATACAAAATGGTAAAGAAAAGGTTAGATTTAATTGAAAAAGTGAGGCTAAATAAGGGCAAAATTAATAAAATCAAAATCCAGAGTGTGTTGGTGGTGTGGTGAATTCGGACAGCATGCGCATTTCATTAAAAAAAAATTATGCACGACGACGACCCAATCAGACGTCAGAGAGCCGTCGCTCTGTTGCCTATCATGAATGAATGTGAATTTGTTGCTGGGTGACTGATTGTTGTATATGTGAAATTGCGTAGCAGAGTCATCAGCCAAAGTTTGCCAGCCAATTTTTCTGGGGCATGTAATTGTAATGATATTGTGTAAATGGAGTTGGAAATGCGAATGATGTTAATTTCCAGAAAATTCCAATTAGAGAAATTTCAGGAATTTACGTAGGTCTTTTAATTGATGTCGTACATACGTACGTACATATATATTTCACCATTGAGTTGGGTAGTATTTACGTCATTTCTTTTCACCATTCCCATGCAGTGTTGCTAATTTTAGTAGTATGATACACAAAAAATTTTTGCAAAAACAACATAGGTGTGCGGAATAATAGGAATGTTTTTACTTTTGGAAATGTAAAAAAATTGTTGCATATTTATTTGTAATTATGTATATCGTTATTGTGAATTATTAACATCAAAAAATTAATGTGATTTTGAGATATTTTCATAACATTGTGAAATATTAATTCAAGGTCATGTTGAATACATCTTTGAACTCACAATAAAAAATCATTTTAAATAAAGCATAAAAATAAATATAAGATAATAACACAAAAATATAAAAACAAATTTAGTAGATCGTGGAGAAGTCCACATGTTTACTAATATGTACATATGTCCAGGTAAACCACTAGAACATATAGGAGTTCAATTTTCATTATTCATATGGTAAAAATTCTATGGCATATGATAGCATATCGGGCCCCCCGGGCCGCCCCCCAGAGTGCGTCCTTGGTCGTAGATGACACTGCATTATTTACTTGCTTTCTAAAGGATTAACTTCTCTAAGAGCCATGACGAATTTTCTCCAGGTAAAAATTTTTATAATTGTACTTTTACATTATAACCTTAATGTTATACGATTAACTTTATCATCATTTCAGAAAATGGGTTCCAAATGATATATAATGTACCTGGATTTTAAGAACATCTGTTATTTGCTTTGTTCCGGACGATGAAATTACATAGTTTAGTCGTATGGAAATAGGTGCAGTTTATAGTCTTGAACCAGCAGTATCCTTGTATATATTCCTTGTTAGTAAGGCAATTCCTTCACTGGTTACGGAATCGAATCATCGATAGGAAACTACTATGGAAGGATGCCGATATTGGTTTCGCAATAGCTTGTGTTTGAGAATTAATTGATCACTGCCTGTCGCCGAACTCCATGCAGTAGAAAAATTAATGTCCAGGTTTGAGATATTTTTTTAATTTTAAATCCAGCAGCGATTGTGACCCCTTGAGCCGAATCTCGATCACAGCACACAGCTGTGAAGAGAATGAGGTCCTTGGAGGAACAACAACCTGCGACGAAGTTGATCGACGGATCCTTCGGTTTGGCCAGATCACCTTATACAAAGGTGTCAAGGTTTTTAATTGTCGAACTAAGGAGCGGTCCACGAGATTCCAAGCGGAATGGTAACCTCTGTGTGGATCAAATCACCTTTTAATGGACTAGATAACACACTAGTGGAAAAGCAGAACGACGGCCTTCAGATGAGGAGGTGGAGAATCCCTGCCTCATTTGAAAAGACCGGCGGTGTAGTCGCAAAGCTTGCTACCGACTCTGCTGATGAGCAATATTTGAGGAAGAGTTGTTTTATGGGATGGGGAAACTTTATTTCCATCTCCCGCCATTAAAACAATAGGCAGACAGCAGCAAGCGCTAAATATGTGAAATTTGTCTGCTTGAATCTCCAATTATGCTGTTCTTATTTCCAAATAGAAGTATATACATATTTTCCTTTCTATTTATTATTATCAATATCTTGAATATCTGACGGGTCAAATGTTAATTAAAAAAACCCATCCAAGTCATCAATACACCATTTCAATAACTAATTTTCTCTATTTCATTTTATTCTCTAGCATTTCCTCTTTATGATTGTTTCATTCTATGAATAGCAACTTGTATTTCCAGCTGTAATCTATCTCAGCTGCTGCTATAGGTCAAGCAACCGAACAACCAGCTGTTCTTTTGTATTACCATTATTATGTGTTGTTCCAATTTCTTACAATATATCTTCTTGGCATCTTCTCTTGGTATTGCAATTTCTCTTTTGTGTTGTGTATTCTTTAATATTCTTACGTACATTTTTGCCACTTAGTTATTGTTGAGTATTATGTGTTTATTTTGCTGCTAGTGAGTGTGTGTGCGTTTGAGATTTCAAGATTTCTTCATAATTGCCTTGCAGTTTTGGATGTGCAAAAAAATGAAAAAATACATTAATTTTGCCTGAGGTGGTACATACAAAGAACGAACATCATCATCGTACGGTCGTTGGCTATTACGTGAAGGTCAATGTTAAATGAGCTATAGCGTCTGTGTGGATATACATATCTAAATTAAATAATTTTGTTTTATTTGGCTCTGACCAACATCATGATCACCATGAAATGCATCTCCTCTGCTGTATGCATAAATCATTATTACTTGAAATTGTTTATTATGATTTTCGCATTTGTTTTGTCTTGAATAATATTTCTTCAGTTATTTTTAAGTCTATTTTGATTTTTTGTTTATAAATTAAACAAAGAAGAAATATATTCTCGAATTTTTTTCATATTTTGTTGTTGTTTGTTTTGGCTTGCACGTAATAATAATGCTTAGGTAATATTGATATTTTTGGTATTTCTTTCTTCTTAGATAATATCACTTCAATAGATTTCCTTTTCAAACTTGAACTTGGCAATACGTTTGTTTTTTGGCCATCACACATTTCTTGTTCTCTTGTGCTGTGAAGATGGTAGTCAAGGTTTTTTGCCAAATACTTACGAGATGCTATTTTTAAAAGAAAAATTTCCCTCAACATATTCTTTTTGGGGGAAAAGAAAGTTCTGTGTCATTACTATTTCCGCTAGAAGACAAAAATACATATATAAATACATAGCATTGTTGCTGTACAAATTACTGTGTGTATTGTAAACAAGTTTTCATTTGACTAAAATAAAATGTAATTCACAAAATTTCATTACTTTCCTTTTTTATTTAATTTATGATTACTTGTGCATTATATCATTTTATATCAGCTGGGCCTGATAATATCAAATCCGAAGCGAATCTTGAAGAATACCCCTACGGATATAAAGCAGGAAAACCCACTAGCAGATACCTGGATAACACGACTGAGGAACAATCGCCTTCATAGTCAAAAGCGTTATCTATTAGTTAGATGTCATTCATCTGTTAATAAAGTCGGAATCTGACCATCCTCATTAGGTATATTCTGAAACAATCTGTCAACTAGGAAACTGTTTTTATACTAAGTCCATCTTTGGCATTTGTGCCCTTCATATCAGAAAAAAATTTATGAGAATGGTTATTTAAGGTTCAGTTTCTGAGATTCTACGGTCAATTTAGATTTGTGTTGAAACCATTTTTACAATTTTCTGAGAAAATTAAAAAACATATAGCTAAAATGTTAGCCAAATATTCGATAGCAAATTTTAATTAAATTTATAGAATATTATTTATTGTAGAACTTTCAGAACAAGGCTTATTAACTCATTTGGCGCCACCGTACTCTTAAAACAAATAACAGTACCACTGTTAGAAAACTACCGTTATTTCAGTTAATTTCTATAAAATATTTTATTTTTGTGTCTTGTTTAATACTATATTTAAGATTTAAAGTTAATCTTAAGATTTGGAAAAAAATCGTTGGCTTTATCTGGGTTAATATGCTGCAAATTAGCTGATTCGTATATATGCTAACATTATTATTAATTGACTTCACATGATGAATACGTAAACAGCGTCTAAGTTTTACACTTTAAATTTATTAAAAAGAAACTGTTATTTTGTACTTCTTGCGTAGGAGACCCTGATTCTGAATAAAAAGTTACTTTATTAAATATAAATATACTTTTATAAATTTATGCCATGTCCTGACGGGCATTCGAACAACGTAGTTCGCTCTCAGAATTACGTACATGAATTAACCCGTTCATACAACACTACTCCTAATTCATGTCATCAGAGTTTTTTATTTCAAACTTTTTGTTTCTTGTTTTACACCAAAATTCTAACATATTTGCATGAATTGCATATGGATTTGAATAGAAAAATTAATTGTCTTTCTCCTGACTATATTAAGAACCCATATCTATTTACTTTTAATTCATGTTTTCCATTTTTCTGAAAATATTGTTGTTTTCATACATTTTTATATTTTCTAAATTCAAATGTCACATATAAAAGTTTGGAGAATTTTTTTTTGAGTGTCCCCAAATTTGTTTCTTGTTTTGTACGCTAATTAGAACCATGGGGAAAGAAATTCACATTGCATTATGTAGATAACAAAATTTACATCCTGCTGCATATATAAAAACTAGACAATTTTTTACTTTTCATTCATCATTTTCAATATTACTAAAAAAGGTTGAAAATTTTATAAATATTTTCAAGCTGTCAAAATTAATTTATTTTCGATAAATGCTCTCAGTTATTAGGGATGGGACAAATTTCTTGGTGATTCAGAGAGTGATTCGAATTGAACAACGTACAAAAGTCGGTGTTCGCTCAGACAATTTTGTATGGGGAACTAAGTAATTACTTCATAATGCCATGTTCTGACGGGCATTCGAACAACGTAGTTCGCTCTCAGAATTACGTACATGAATTAACCCGTTCATACAACACCATTCTTAATTCATGTCATCAGAGTTTTTTTATTTCAAACATTTTGTTTCTTGTTTTGCACCAAAATTGTAACATATTTGCGTGAATCACATATGGA